TCGACTCATTTGCACTATTAGCTACTCTTTCCCCCATAGTCCCCTGTAGCGCTGCTCCGCTTTGTCTGTTTTGTCTTTCAGAGGACGTGCACAGATACAGAAGAAAGCCTAAGCCTTATCTCCAACATGTGACCAAATCACAGCGCTTGCTCCGCTCGCTGAAGTTTAACCCACCACGGTGCATTTATTTTCTCATTACACGTCAGAGTTGAATATTTATAGAAAAGAGCCATCATCTCTTTAAGAATCCTCCTCTCTCATGGTTGTCAAGGTGTCCTCTTCGTACCGTACGATCAAAGAGGAAGTCATGAAAAACACTTGGGCGGACACACACACACACACTGTCCCATCATCTCTTCGAGCTGTCATCCACTCCCATGGGCCAAACAAAAGTAGCCGCAAAGTGTCACTCACACCACAAAGAACTGCTTAAAATTCCAGCTACTTCCAGGTCGTGCAAAAACATGAGGAGACTTCACAAATCATTTTCAAGGCTCAAGTCTAAAAGCTGGCCTGAGGACCACTCACATGATTTCCAGTGACAAACACAGCACATGTTTGCTTTCTTATCCACACGTTGTCAGCTGATGAGACTTACATGCGTGACATCATATTGTAGCATCAACACAAGGCCTGTAGTCATATAATCTTAAACAACTGAAATCGCACATATTCTTTGAGCAATTGATTTGTCACAGGGGATTAACTAAACCGGACAGTGTTGTAATTGCACTCGACCAGTTTGCCTTATTAGCCTTAATTAATTAAAAACATAAAAAGGTAGTATTTGTAGGAGAGTGAAGCAAAAAATGAAAAAAGCAAAAGCAAAACCTACTTAACCCAACACTAGAGTTAATATGGTCCAACATCTTACTGCGTTAGATTAACCCAGCATGTGGTTTGTCCAATAAATAGCCAGCGGTGCAGACAGGCTAGTTTTCAAACCTGTTATTGTTCAGCATGATGCATAGAAGAGTTATCCTACTATTGTTTGATCACATCCAACTACTGTTTAAGTTTACACTTGACTTTTCGGTCAATATGTTTTAGCCACTTGTAACGTCTGGGAATTCGTCCAAAAACACAAGGCGGAGTGTAACTCTCTTCCTGGAAATGAGCCAGTGGAGGGAAATCAACAGATCGGCCACTGAAAGGCCATCAGCCAGTTAATGTCAACAACACTTTGAGCCCAGTGAGGCTGAACAGACTTCCTACAAGCGTCCTCCTCATTCCCTCATGTTTTCCTCCACTTGCCTTTACATCGATTGTTCAAGCTACGCCCCAACACTCGCACCTGCACCTCCCTTTATCTCTCCTTGGGCCCATTGTCTCTTGTCATCACATGGATCTCTCTCATCCAGCCACTCTTTCACTACCTCGTTCCCATTTCCACCTCCTCTGTTCGGGTGGGCTAGCTCAGAAACGTTGGCATCATCAACCTCACAGCTGTTATGTAACCTGTGATCGGTTTCGTGTAAGTATATGTGCATGTGCTTTCTCGGAAGAGGGAGTGGTTTGGAGGAAGAAGATATCATTGATGTTCTCACACAATACAGTGCAAAGAGGGCGGGAGCGGAAAATGTACCAAACACACAGAAACCTTAAGGTACTGGAATAGGCCCTGACTGTCTCAATGGGACATTCAGTATGTGGCAGGTACCTCCTGTCATTAACCATCCAATCAAATTAGAGCGCTGGCTGTGATTTTTTTGTGTGTGTCCCCAGGCCCAGCAGAGTTATTGGCAAACACTCTGTCTGAATTGGCAGTTTGTTGCTTTGGTTCTTTATTTCCAGAATCAGCCAGCAATTTGAAATGATGACCAAACAAAACAGCTAAGCACGGCTGATGAGCTATTCTGAACAGAGACGGAGCGTGCAATAAAAACAGACTTAAGCCTCCATCCACCATGACATTGTTTACCCCTCAGTTTCATTTCAATCTGATCTGAATCCCAGCTGTGGATTCTATCTGCCAGATAAAGTTTATTCCAAGTAGATACTCCAAAAGAAATCTTCCTCAAATTGTCCAATTGAAAGCTGTCAAGTCTAATAGCACAGAGAAATCCATCAATCCCGTATTGTAAAGATCAGCAAGATTCATTTTCAATAATAAAACCTGTGTTTAATAGGGTATTTAACTGTAATATATCTGTATAAATATGCGTTTGTAGGATAAGTGGTCACGATGTGCTCAGCTGAGAGATCAGATTTAATCTCTGGTGCCGAAAGGACAATTAAAAGTCATTCATATGCAGCAGGACAACGTTAGTCCCTGGTGGAATATGAACATTGCTGAACTCAAAACTTCGAGTTGCTTGGCAACAGCTGCTGGCGAAGAACAGAGACTGAATATTCAACAAATGGAAATCTTGAGCAAACAAAAATAAAGTCTGTCACCTGGTCGGTTCTCTCTTTGAGAGTTTGATCACTTTCCTTATTTTAAACTGTTTATATAAAGAGGTAAAAATAAAAAGGAGTGCTTTTTGTCAGGAGTGGGGCTGAAGATTAATCGAGGGGTTTGCAGTCAGTATAAGAAATATTAGAGCTGGGCGATCAAACAATAGTAAACTGTTATTATTGCAATACAATTCAAATCATAAGAATATAACAAAGGTTCAATATCTACCAATATAATGTTTATGCATTGTAGAAGCCTGTGGATGAGGTACAACACATAAGGCTTTACTGTTATATCTCAGATTTGAACAACAGCAGCAAAATATATTTATCGTGATAATTATTGATATCAGCTGATAGAATGTTGTTATCTCTCACATCTGTGGCCATGTTGCCCAGCCCTTAGACACATTTCTGCATCAGATCATCATCATATTAAACCATCGTGATCTCACTGCAATGATCACTACAGCTCGGACAAGATAAATACCCAGGTTTACGTCACCCTAATGATTTCTCTGGTGGAGGAGAATGACAACAAGTCACCCAGGATGATGTGGGAGATAAAAACCAAGTTAAGGTCATTGTCATATCTGGGTTAAAGTGATGCAGAGGAGGAGGAGGAGCAGGAGCACAATGAGGCAGAGAGGCTACACTGCAGCAGATAGTCTGGTCCACTGACCTCCTTTGGGGGGAGAGAAGAGACAGTATCCTGTGTCCAACACTTGGACAGACAATCAGAGAGACTGCAGGTATTAGACACATGCACAGAAACACACATAAAGCCACACAAAATGGACACACACACCCTCCACATGCACATTTTCTCCTTGGATGAGTTTACTCCCCCTTTGTTAACTTCATTTAAAATCGATTTCAGTCAGTCATGCTATTGTTTTAATTCACTTTACCTGTGAGAGCAGAGCTGCAGCTAATCTCCCGGAGCTCCTTAACACCGACTAATTACCAGATAATAACCCGGGGATTAGTTTTTAACTGCGGAGGCGTAACCGACCTACTGACCGCTACTTCTTCTCCTTCTTCTCCGTCAACGTGGCCGCAGATGGAGGCTGCTCCGCGGGGGACGTTCACATCGAACGCCCGCACTGTGAAGCGGGAGGAGCGGATGCAAGAGGCGCGTTGATGCCGGTGACCGCAGCCTGGGACCGGGGTGACATTGAGCCGCCTTTACGCGCCAGCTTTTCCAACATCACTCCTCCTCCTCTCTCTCTCCCTCTCTCTCTCCTCCCTCCCTCTCTCCTCCCACTCTCTCTCTCCTCCCTCCCTCTCTCGCTCCTTTTTCCGCGAGGCACGCGCTCTGAATAATGCAGGGCTCGCGAGCTCCCGGGAGTCTTTTCTGTCCCGTTCCAGAGAGAATCAGAGCCGCGCGAGCCGAGCACAATGAGGCCGACCCGTGCGGATCAGGTTTCACTGCCTTTAGTTTCATTCATTCATTCATTCATTCATTCATTCATTCATTCATTCAGCTGCGAGACAATCTGACTGCAACCCTCCACCGTCCAGCCCCTGAACCCCACCTCCCTGTCTGTCTGTCTGTACGTCTGTCTGTCTTCCACCTCTCCCTCTCCCTCCCTCTCTCTCTCTCTCAAATGTGCTCTGCTCTCAAACAAAAGTGAGAAAACTCCAGAACAGGTAGAGCACCAGTAGTAGTGAGAGTGAGAAAGTGAACCTGCCTTTCACTTAAGAGCAATGTGAGGTTTAGGGGTCTTCATGCTATGCCACTTTTTTCCCACTGTGACCCCTGGACAGCTGTTGCCAGATGGGAAATATTGAGGTGTAGTATCACAGTTTCATCGGTAAACAGCGTTGCAGCCAAGTCCATACTGCTCCTGTAGTGTCATCCAAGTGTCCGCAAGCCTCGACATTCAAATTTGTCTCGAAACGAGGTCATTCACACCTGAATGTCCTCTGGTAGCCTCCTCCGAGACACTGTTCTCGTGAGAACTAGGAGGACATCAGCGGACATCATTTACTCTTTATTTACCTGATTTGACCCGGCCAGCAAACTCCAGAGGGTGAAAGCAAAAACTATTTTTTCAAACAAAATTTTCAAGTTAGAAAAAGAATAAATCCGTGGACGGTAGAACTTGGAGGTCATCAATATGTGATGTTCAGGATCTCAAGGATTTCTTTTCTGCCGACTTTCCCTGAACAAGCTGAAGTATTTAAACGTATCAGCCTGAATGTTCTGTTCTCAGCTGACACATGAACACAGAGATCATATACACAAAGATTTTTAAAAGAACATCTAACTTGTCCACATGCTCTCAGCACTGCTGTTATCTCCTCGTGACTTTAGCTCACACACACACACACACACACACACTATTTTCAGGAGTGGTAGCCCAAAATACAGATAATGGGTGTTGCTGTTTGAAATCCTGTAAAGTCCCATGAAGGGTGAACAGTTAGCTTCTTATAAATGCATCATGAAAGGTTTCCTGGCAGACGGAGCCGCGGTGTCATCCCTGACTCTTCTGATGTCTCGGGACATCACGTGAACATTGTCCTGTAGATGCTCTTTCATTGTTCATAAACATCCGTACAGTCATACATTAAAAAAACACAGATACACTACTCACCATGGCAGTGTGAGGATGTTTGGTCGGCATGGGAACTTGATAGCCATTTGTTGTTGTCAAGGAAACCTCTGGTGTTTTGATGTAGCCTGTGATAGAACAAAATGTTTTATTTATTTTTTTTACCATTATCGTCTTTGTTAACCAGCGTCACCTCGCATAATAACTGTGGGTGACCTGTGCTGTTCTAGTGCAAAATCTTCAACACATTCATTGTCAAGTAAAGAGCATGGTAGTCGCTGTATCTCCAAATAGTCTGTTTTTAATGAAATAAGAAGAAACTTGAAAATCCATGTGCAGATCTAACTCTGCTAAAGTTGATGCAAACACTCACGTGACCTATAGCCTCAATATGTTGAGTAAATATAAAGGGTCATCCATATTCACACAACCTAAGTCAGTTCATATTTTCTTCACTTAACGCTCTTCCTGTATATTTGAAGTCTCATCCTGATTCACTGACCCAGCTCCACCTTGATAAGTCAAGTTCATCTGATTTCATATCTTCTCATCCTCAACCTCCGGACACCCACACTCACTGCAGCTGAAGAAACGACGCTGCTGCCGGAGCAGAAAACACTGACATCAATCTGTCAGAACGGGTTTATACTGTAACTACTACTGCTTTGACTACAGCAACCACTGATAGTAGTACCTTAACTAAGAGACCTGTACTGCGATCACTACTACTTCTACTTCTCGTGCCATAATGACATCATTACTATTATTACTATTATTACTTTACTGCACCCTATGCTGCTACTGTATCAGTCTTAGTACGGGTAGCACAAATAATAGAAAGAAGTACTAGTGACAGTATTACAAATGGTATTAGTAGTAGTATTAGTGGCTGGTATAGTAGCAGCAGTATTAGTAGCATCAGCAGTTTATGTGATACCTGATCTCTTGTTGCTCTGTATGTTTATATACATGTCACATTCAACCTCATCAGGCCATGAGGTCATTTTATTATCTGTTCCGATTCTGACTATTGTGTTATTGAACTACCTCAGAACAGCTGAGTCATTCTGCTTCTAGTGAAACATGTTTATACTTGTGACTTGTTACTTACATGCATTTGTGTTTATGGCTTCTGATAGAGACACAAGGAACGCACCATGCAGCCTTTTATTATCTGATGATAAACATAATTCAATTAGTGCTTGTTATCATGGAAAACACACCCATCCTGTCTGCTGGAAGTGACTGAGTGAGAGAGTGAGTGAGTGACTGAGTGAGAGAGTGTGTTCTCAGAAGTCATGACATCTCTGATATATTCATTTATCACCTTCTATTATCTCATCTGGGGAAATGTGTGGCTGCCCTGCACAGACCGTGTGATTTACTCAGGAACAGTAACACTCAGTGTGACATCAGAGATAGTAATGTAGTACAACTGCTATGTACTGATGTACTGTACTAGTTTGCACATACACATACAGTAAGTACCCTTTTCCTGTGGTGTCTATGAATAAATCCATGTGCTTGTGATACATGGTTACTGGTTAGTGCCTCAGTGTGGTGAGTGTTTCACTGCTCTGAAGTGATCCACAGTAAAGTAAACAATGTTGATGATGATTTCTTGCAGTACCTACTATCAGTACCAAGGGGGCGCCTCAGGGCTCCTGCAAACCCAGAACAGTGGGGTGTGTAGATTCTCTACTTGTTCATCTAAATGTTTCTCTTTCCTTCCTTCAACACCGTCTGCATCCCTTTCTCCCCCCTCTCCGACCCACCTCATGAAAAATGTATGAATGGTATTGTGTAAATTCATTAAATGACACAATCACGAGTCTCTCAGGAATGTTTCAGTAACATTCAACCTTTCCTTCCTCTCTGCACAGCTGTCTGTCATGTTTATCTTTAATATCTCCGATAAGAGCAGGATGATGTGGCAGTTTACCCTTTTTGTGAGTTAAACTACACCAACAGTTCCATTTTAAGCTTTACTATATATTATAAATTGTTAACAGTTTGACAGTACGTTCACTTGTATCTGAATTAATTCATAACATTAAGATATAGTTACTAAGCATATTTCTTTCTGTGTCTTCTGGACTTAATTAATTTTTCATGTAGCTGTTTTTCAAGCTTGTGTTTCATTATGTGCTCATAAGTAAATATTATGACACAAATACTGTCCACATATTAAATTACTCCGAACAAGGAAGGTGTTGGTGACTCAAAGCAGCTGATGTGTATCTGAAATTCTTCTCTGGTTTGTTTGTGTGATAAAAAGTCTGCTTGATTTTATGGAGTGAAAACCGAACATAATGTACTGGACAGAAAACGTTATGACCTGACTTTGATTTGTGTGTTTGTGGTGCAACTTTGCAAAAACACAGCGGCCATCTTTTTCACATTGAAGGTGACCGATGACTTTAAATGAAATGGTTGTTAATCAGTTTGTCTCATTTCAGATTGATTAAGGGACGATATGGTGTTATGATACGCATGAAGAAGAGACCACATTTCAGTGTGTGTCTGTGTATGTGTGTTAGTTGCAGTGGGTAGTATCACAGATAGGGATGCAGTAAGGATAGCTTGTGATCTGTTTGTCAGCAGCCGATGAAGAAGTGAACGTTAGCGACAGATGGAAAGAACAAGCAAGAGACGGCAGGGGGGCACTGGAGAAACTCAGCTTTATTGACCAAAGAAGAAGATACAGACATCAGAGAGGAGGAGAGAGAGAAAGAGAGAGTGACCGAGTGAGTTGTCATAACCATAGAAAGAAGAGAAGGAGAGAGAGAGAGAGAGAGAGAGAAGTGTGAACAATAGAAAATGGCTCCTTTTTTTTTGTTTTGTTTTAACAGTCCATACAACTGTGAGGGCAGGCAGACACAGAGGGAAAGAAACACCCCGACATGGTCGGAGGAGCACTGCAGGCGTGGCAGTGAGGCTGGTAAACTCAACAAGCCTGTTGTTCACCCACAGCTCCTTGCATTAAACCACAACACGCGCACGCACACACACACACAAACACACAAACAAACACACACAGGCAAACTAGTAAACCTTCCTCCTTATTTGAGATTGTGGCTGCATTTTTCCTACAGTAAGTGCTTCTTCATTCATTGCACATCACGTGTGTGTGTGTGTGTGTGTGTGTGCTCTTTGCACCTCGGGGGAAACTAACACTACACTTTCCAGAACACACTTCTCTGCATAGTCAAACAGTCATGCATTTCAAATTTGGTTTGGCGAATTGGGGCCACTGAACAGGATAATATCAGTAATTGTCCCCAAGTCTGTCGCAGTAAAATAGACTGAACACACGGCTTTTTCAAAAAAGGGCAGAGTGACTTTGCATTTTCCATATATGACAGTGTTATTTGATTAGTTGCAGTATTTTGATGTTTACCTGAACAGTGTCTTTGATTAACAAAAATGTACCAGTCTCAGAAAAATTACACATTAAGTGGAATTTAACATGTGAACTAATTGAATGGACAAAAATGTCTGCTTCAGGATTTGCCGTTTATAGGAAAACATCCACAAAGTGTAAAAAGCGTGATTCTTACGCTCATGGGCTCCCGTACAAATCCCTCTGTATAGTTAATTAGGAACATTTTCTTCCGCACAAAGTTTCGAGATCCACGATTGCATGGTCAGAAGAGAGGGATGGGGTTAATCGTGAGATTACACACAGCAAAGCGGTGAAGTTAAGAGAATGAAAATATGTGAAGCTGTCTTTTGTGCACTCATACAGTCGTCATATATGGCGTAGCGAGACATCGGAACAACGTCCGATACCCAGAATAATCAGCATTATCTCTAGATATCTATATAGATGTGGAAAATAAAATCATCGCTAAATAGAATATATAGTATTTACATTCTTTATCTACACAGGAAGTGAAAGACCCCCGGTACAGCAGCAGGGGCCAGTCAAACTAAAGCTTGCATGTTCTGCAGTGACAGCAAAGATTGGAGGTGAGATTGTATGAGCTGTGCACGGAGCCATGTATGGAAAGAACCTTTCATTGCTGGAAACACTTTTTGATGACCAGGATTATTGTTTCTATCTTTCATTCTTACTGTTGCGCTAAAGGATGTTTTTTAGTCGATGGTTCAGGTCCAGTAAAAACAAATAAAAAGAAAAGGCACTGCACTCTGAAAATAAAGGGTTTTGCATCTATTCAGGTCGGTCAATGCCCATTTCATTAGGTTTGTGGAGTTTTATTCATTTATTCTTGTCATGATGTGAATTAATCACATTCACACCCAAGGAAAAATGGACATCACAACCACTGGACACACACCTGAGCCACAAAACATCCCTTAAATCCCATTATTGTATCTGAAGAGCCTCACTGACCTGTTCTGTAAACGTGTGAGTGTCGTCTTTGATGGCGTCATTCATTCATTCGCTATAACCACCGGTGGCTCGCTGTAGCGTAGAATGCAACGTACAAGATGCATATAATTATCTACCTTTATCACTCCACAGAATGAGCATGATTACTGCTTTTGAGAGCTTTGTTATTCTGAAAGCCAGCCTAAAAAATGACCTACAGTGTAACACCGTGTATATGTACATGATGTTATAATGACACCCAGACCTCATTGTTTGTAGCACCCTTGTAAACGAGGGTCTGGCTGGCGACTGTAGCACGAGCTGGCAGTGTTTTTTTACTCTTTGAATTCTAAAGAGCATAATGGATCGGTGGTGGCCCTCTGAGTTTAATGGACAAAAAGGTGGACATGAATTTGCACATAATCTTTCGTCTAAAAAGCTCGTAGTTGTTCTTCAGTAATCTGGTAGTGCTTGTTAATATTCATTATTCACGTCTTTGTGCCCGGGCTGTTAGTGGTGGTCACCCATGTGTTTTCGCTGGATATGTGTGTATGTGTTCCCTTCGCTGCCAGAGTGAACTCATTAAGCTGCCGTGAAGCTTCCTGTGCTCTTGAGCCTTTGGACACACTAGGAAAAGAATTTGGCGGCGTCGAACCTACAGGCTGCCAAACGGTGTTCCACGGCTTCTCATTGGCTGCTGAGTTAGGAAGTACGAGAATAGGAGGAAGTGACCTCAGCAGTGGAATAGCTGGAGTTAACGGAGGAGAACGGAGCGAGAGAAATAGAGAGAGAGAGAGAGATGAGGGAAGAGTGTGATAGTTGTGTTACTACAAACTACAGTGTCAAGAACCTCAGTTTCCCACGGAAACAGGCGTTTCAACAATTCAATGGCCATTTAAGTCTCAAAAAATAACAACAGCAAACTGAAATTAAAGTCTAATTGAATCTCTAACTCTTGTTAGGACTGTCAATGTGGAAGAATGAAGAGGCACATAAAGAAACCAAGGCAACGAGTACCCTCCTCTCTGCCCTGGTCAGACAGAGTGTACGAAGAAGGGGTGTGTGGGTCGTTCATAGGTTTGGTGTGTGTGTAGTGTGTCTGGGGGAGAGAGAGAAAAAAGATAGTTGGAGGTGTCTGAGTAGAGAAATTAAAAAAAGTAACTGAGACTGTGTCTTATTGAATGTTTTATAAACCGGCTTATTCAAAGCGGGGGTCTGGTTGCTTGTCCTTGGAGTCAAGCGCAGGATGGTTAGACAGCATGGCAATGTGACCGACTGTCCGTAAAGCCCCACTGAACCCCGAGAGGAGGTTTGTAGAACCTGGGTTTTAGCTGTATGTGAAGAAACATTATTTTGACTCCATCTGTCTGTTGGATTTCACCATAAATAAAGCAGCATGGCAACAGCTTAGCTCCTGCATCACGATGGAGTTTTGAATTTGTGGAACATACTGTGTTGTCGCAGGAGTTTCTAACGAAAGAGCCGAGATGTAGAGGTGATAATGTGACTGAGTAAAAAGTCAAAGGTCAGACAAGAGCGTGCATGTGTGTGCATGTGCGTGCCAGCCGTTCAGAGTCCAGAGGAGGAGGAGGAGGAGGAGGAGGAAGGCAGGGCATCTGTTAGTAACCATCCAGAGACAGAGGAGAAGAGAGGGGTGTTGTGGGTAATAATAAAAGGGTGGAAGAGGGAGAAGATTCAGTCACATGAGGATGCAGCACTCGCAGCGTTTCCTCTTGTCTGTACCTGTGGCGGGGGTAAGGCCCGGTGGGGGGGGCGTGTTGGCATCATTTGCGGGTGGCGAGGAGGCGCTGTCAGGCTCACGGCCGTCAGATGACAGTTCCGTGCTGGCAGCCTCGGACGTGGCCGGCCGCCCCGACACGAGGTCGGCCGCCGTGCCGTCGATGATGGATACGTCGGTGACCGTCTTCTCCCTCAGCGACTTCTCGTCGTCTTCGTCGATCAGGACCACCTCGGCCTTCACTGCGCCGTCGAAGCCGAGCAGCCGCCTGCTCTCGCTCATGTCCTCAACGTCCTGGTAGCCAAGGAACACCATGGTGACTGGGTGCTCCGCCGTGGCTTGAGGCGAGCAGGTGAGCTCGTTGCCCGGGTGGGCCGAGGAGGCAGGCTGGGTCGTGACAGGAGCGGAGGGGGGGATCATTCCCAGGCGGGTCTCTCTCTGTAGGATGACCTGTGCTGGTGGGCTGGAAGGGATGGATGGTGGGGCACAAGAGGGCGGAGACAGATCATCCACATCTGCCGGGGAAACGTAGGCCTGTGGGACAGCCGGGGTCACCCTCACCTGACCTCTCCCGCCATCTCCTCCTTGTGCAGCAGGCCTGGCGGCTCGCTGGATCAGCTGGTCGACCTGCGAGGAGCTCCAGCCATTCTCCACACTGGTGGTGGACACACCCCCAGAGGAAGTGACCTCATAGACCACTTTCTTGCCATCGTCGTAGACTTTGACGCCACGCGACGCCGCGTCCAACGGGTTCACGCGGTTGGCCGACAAGATGCGCTGCTCGCCGGTGTGCGGGTCGTGCTGCACGTTGATCTCCATGGCAAACATTGCTGTTAGGAAGGGAGGGGTGAATAGGAGGAGAGACAGGGAGGGGTTGGTGTGGAGGGGAGACGGATTGGAAGGAAAGGGTGAAGGGATAGGGAGGGGGGTTCAGGGGAGGGGGTGGGAGGTGTTGGGAGGAAAAGGTGGAGGAGGTGAAGCGTGAGGATGTGGACAAACTGCCATTTATAAGTTTCTTATTCAAAATGATGTAAAATCAAGTTAGCACAAGAGAAAATGTTACTTTTAGAAAAACAGATCACAGATGAAGGTGAGTGAATTAGAGAAAAACATCTTTGTCTAAACTAAAGTCAGGAGGTTACTTCAGGTCTACCATCTTCACTTAATTCTGCTCTATATAAAAACACTTAAAACATATAATTTAGAAAACGTGTTGTATTTGTTTCAAACTTTTTTGTTGACCTCAAACTCTTTGTTCTCACACTTGTGAAATCTGTCTGACTCATGCTGCCCCAAAAAAGCTGAGCTTTTATTTTGTAGGGCTATTCCCCCCCAGTGCAAGGTCAGCAGTGTCAAATACAAAGAAACATAATGAACTGAAACACAAGCCATGTTTTCTGTCTCCTAATATAAAGTCAGAACTAAAGACTAGAAATAATACAAAGAGTTAAACTATCACTAATATTTAACCCACTTAT